CCTCTGTCCTCTGTCCCCTCTGTCTTCTGTCCTCTGTCTTCTGTCCTCTGTCCCCTCTGTCCTCTGTCCTCTGTCCCCTCTGTCCTCTGTCCCCTCTGTCCTCTGTCTCCTCTGTCCTCTGTCTCCTCTGTCCTCTGTCCCCTGTCCCGTCTGTCCTCTGTCCCCTCTGTCCTCTGTCCCCTCTGTCCTCTGTCCCCTCTGTCTTCTGTCCTCTGTCTTCTGTCCTCTGTCCCCTCTGTCCTCTGTCCCCTCTCTCTTCTGTCCTCTGTCTTCTGTCCTCTGTCTCCTCTGTCCTCTGTCCCCTCTGTCCTCTGTCCTCTGTCCCCTCTGTCCTCTGTCTCCTCTGTCCTCTGTCCCCTGTCCCCTCTGTCCCCTGTCCCCCCTGTCCTCTGTCCCCTGTCCTCTGTCCCCTCTCAGAGTGCCTATCGTCTGTTCACCACCAACACCTGTCTGAAACATATGATCAGTAAGGTGCGTCGAGATGCGCACCACTTTGAGCGGTACCAGCACAACCGGGACCTGGTGGGCTTCCTGAACCTGTTTGCTAACAAGCAGCTGGAGCTACCTCGAGGCTGGGAGATGAAGCACGACCACAGTGGGAAGGTCAGCTCCTCCTCTGCTGGTCTCTGATCCCCTGCAGGTGTTACCTGTTCTCACCTGTCCTCTGTGCTCACCTGTCCTCTGTACTCACCTGTCCTCTGTTCTCACCTGTCCCCTGTTCTCACCTGTCCCCTGTACTCACCTGCCCTCTGTGTACTCACCTGTCCTCTGTGTACTCACCTGTCCTCTGTACTCACCTGTACTCTGTGTACTCACCTGTACTCTGTGTACTCACCTGTCCCCTGTACTCACCTGTCCCCTGTGCTCACCTGTCCTCTGTGCTCACCTGTAATCTGTTCTCACCTGTCCTCTGTGCTCACCTGTCTTCTGTACTCACCTGTCCCCTGTTCTCACCTGTCCTCTGTGCTCACCTGTACTCTGTTCTCACCTGTCCTCTGTGTTCTCACCTGTCCTCTGTTCTCACCTGTCCTCTGTTCTCACCTGTTCTCTGTTCTCACCTGTCCCCTGTGCTCACCTGTCCTCTGTTCTCACCTGTCCTCTGTGCTCACCTGTACTCTGTACTCACCTGTCCTCTGTGCTCACCTGTACTCACCTGTCCTCTGTTCTCACCTGTACTCTGTGTATTCTCCTGTCCTCTGTGCTCACCTGTACTCTGTGCTCACCTGTCCTCTGTGCTCACCTGTCCTCTGTTCTCACCTGTGCTCTGTGTTCTCACCTGTCCTCGGTTCTCACCTGTCCTCTGTTCTCACCTGTCCCCTGTGCTCACCTGTCCTCTGTGTTCTCACCTGTCCTCTGTGTTCTCACCTGTCCTCTGTTCTCACCTGTCCTCTGTTCTCACCTGTACTCTGTTCTCACCTGTCCTCTGTGCTCACCTGTACTCTGTTCTCACTTGTACTCTGTTCTCACTTGTACTCTGTTCTCACCTGTCCTCTGTGCTCACCTGTACTCTGTTCTCACTTGTACTCTGTTCTCACTTGTCCTCTGTTCTCACCTGTCCTCTGTGTTCTCACCTGTCCTCTGTGCTCACCTGTACTCTGTTCTCACTTGTACTCTGTTCTCACCTGTCCTCTGTTCTCACCTGTCCTCTGTGTTCTCACCTGTCCTCTGTGCTCACCTGTACTCTGTTCTCACTTGTACGCTGTTCTCACCTGTCCTCTGTTCTCACCTGTCCTCTGTGTTCTCACCTGTCCTCTGTGCTCACCTGTACTCTGTTCTCACTTGTACTCTGTTCTCACCTGTCCTCTGTTCTCACCTGTCCTCTGTGTTCTCACCTGTCCTCTGTGCTCACCTGTACTCTGTTCTCACTTGTACGCTGTTCTCACCTGTCCTCTGTTCTCACCTGTCCTCTGTGTATTCTCCTGTCCTCTGTGCTCACCTGTACTGTGTACTCACCTGTCCTCTGTGCTCACCTGTACTCTGTGCTCACCTGTCCTCTGTGCTCACCTGTCCTCTGTACTCACCTGTCCTCTGTGCTCACCTGTACTCTGTGTACTCACCTGTCCTCTGTGCTCACCTGTCCTCTGTACTCACCTGTACTCTGTGTACTCACCTGTCCTCTGTGCTCACCTGTCCTCTGTACTCACCTGTACTCTGTGTACTCACCTGTCCTCTGTGCTCACCTGTCCTCTGTTCTCACCTGTCCTCTGTTCTCACCTGTTCTCTGTGCTCACCTGTCCTCTGTTCTCACCTGTCCTCTGTTCTCACCTGTCCTCTGTGTTCTCACCTGTCCTCTGTACTCACCTGTCCTCTGTTCTCACCTGTCCTCTGTACTCACCTGTCCTCTGTTCTCACCTGTCCTCTGTACTCACCTGTCCTCTGTGCTCACCTGTCCTCTGTGCTCACCTGTCCTCTGTACTCACCTGTCCTCTGTGCTCACCTGTCCTCTGTGCTCACCTATCCTCTGTGCTCACCTGTACTCTGTACTCACCTGTCCTCTGTTCTCACCTGTCCTCTGTGCTCACCTGTAGTCTGTGTACTCACCTGTCCTCTGTGCTCACCTGAACTCTGTACTCACCTGTCCTCTGTGCTCACCTGTACTCACCTGTCCTCTGTTCTCACCTGTACTCTGTGTATTCTCCTGTCCTCTGTGCTCACCTGTACTCTGTGTACTCACCTGTCCTCTGTTCTCACCTGTCCTCTGTGCTCACCTGTCCTCTGTACTCACCTGTCCTCTGTTCTCACCTGTCCTCTGTGCTCACCTGTCCTCTGTACTCACCTGTCCTCTGTGCTCACCTGTACTCTGTGTACTCACCTGTACTCTGTGTTCTTACCTGTCCTCTGTACTCACCTGTCCTCTGTTCTCACCTGTCCTCTGTGCTCACCTGTCCTCTGTACTCACCTGTCCTCTGTGCTCACCTGTACTCTGTGCTCACCTGTACTCTGTGTACTCACCTGTCCTCTGTTCTCACCTGTCCTCTGTTCTCACCTGTCCTCTGTTCTCACATGTACTCTGTTCTCACCTGTCCTCTGTTCTCACCTGTCCTCTGTTCTCACCTGTACTCTGTACTCACCTGTCCTCTGTGCTCACCTGTCCTCTGTTCTCACCTGTCCTCTGTTCTCACCTGTCCTCTTTGCTCACCTGTCCTCTGTGCTCACCTGTCCTCTGTTCTCACCTGTCCTCTGTTCTCACCTGTCCTCTGTGCTCACCTGTCCTCTGTGCTCACCTGTTCTCTGTTCTCACCTGTCCTCTGTGCTCACCTGTCCTCTGTCTCCGCAGCCTTTCTTTGTGGATCATAACAGCAGAGCCACCACCTTCATCGACCCCCGGCTGCCCCTCCAGAGCTCCCGGCCCCCCAGCCTGCTGACTCACCGCCAACACCTGACCCGGCAGCGCAGCCACAGCGCCGGGGAGGTCAGCCCGCGCCCTCGTCACCCGGGACCTCCAGTCCTACCCCGCCCTGCCAACACCTTCAGCTCAACAAACCGGGCCCAGTACCAAGAGGTGGTTCCAGTGGGTCAGTACCAGTCCACATGGTGATTGTTAAACACTTTATGAAGCTGATCAAACTCTTCTTTCCTGCTCAGCGTACAACGACAAGATCGTGGCCTTCCTCCGACAACCCAACATCTTTGAGATTTTACAGGAGAGACAGTCGGACTTCAGCCGCAACCACCTGCTCAGGTGACGAGCCAGCAGGGTCCAGTCCAGTGATCCAACACATACTGACCAGAACCAAAACATGTCAAACTGACACTGATGCTGCTTCCATGCTAACAGGGAGAAGGTCCAGCTGATCCGGACCGATGGGGTCTCAGGGCTGACCCGGCTGTCAGGTGATGCTGACCTCGTCATGCTGCTCAGGTGAATCACATCCCACCCCTCCTTAATGTCTGAGCGCTGAGTCAGCACTCAGTTTCCTCAACGTATTTATCTTTTTTATAAATAAAACTTTCAGCTCGGTTGAGAAGTGTCTCTGAATTTTACAACTTTTATACATTTTACAATAAATAAATTTATTTA